TCCAGGAGCAGCTGGAGCATTGCACAGGCGCTAGTACGCATGCGCGCACTGCGCGCGTGCACGAGGACGCCGCCGGCCCCCGTTCCAACCGAACCGGTTGGAACGGGGCGAGAAACCTACCCCTGGTATATACTGACCTAATGGGTTAGTTAGTGTGTCCATACCTTTGGTTAGAGAAGATGTGTTAGTTGTGGTGTTGATGGAGGAAGCTAAGGAAAAGCGACGGGGAACGTCTCTCTCTTTAGACCCTGGATCTGGGAGAGCAGATAGATGCAGGTTAAGGGTGAGGTAGAAAACATGCAAAAATGAATAAATAAATTGAATAGCAATTCTGCCCAGCCTTGGTGCCCATCAGACGATGTGGGTTTACAAGTAGAATTTCCATCATCCTTGATTCGTAACATCTTATAGAATCTACCCGAATTGCTATGATGCCAAATCACATTTTATTGCTAAATTGATGGCCGGGAGGACTTATAAAATGTGCTCACCAGAATAACTAAACTTTGGCTGCAAAATGCCAGACGCTCACCAAGAGGCAGCTGTGAGATCCTTAAATGTGGAAATACTTGCCGCCATCTAGTGGTTGTATTGATCTTTACAGCCCAGATGTGGTAATGTTTCCAGAAGATAACTGATAAAAAATGTTTTTAGCAAACACATGCTTGGTTCTCAGGCCCCCAATTGGTTTATAAGTGGTGGAGGGCTTAATTCATCATGCAAATCCGAATTCATGGGTTGGTTAATGTGTTTTTAAATTATAACCAAGTTAAATGTGTTATTTGAATGCAGACTATCTTGTGTGTCTCCTCCTATTAGCACTTTCTGCTAATGAATCCTAAGTGTCAGAATTTATTATAAACCATTTTGTCAAGTCCCACTTAAGAGTTTTAACCACACTTATTTTCAGTTTTTGTTCCAATTAAGAGTTTCACCTTTCTATGGTTACCCTCCCTCAATGTTCTTGCTACTCTCACTTCTTCATCTTTAATATTCTCTGTCGATTCTTCTCAAAGCAAAAATAGCCAGTTCTTTGAAGAAGAAAGATGCCCACAAGAGAGGCATATCCTGAAAGGATTCTATTTGGAAGGTTGTGCTGCCCCGGCAGTATATAGCTAGTGTAGGAATTAAGGATTGGATTGGATTTATTAAATTTATAGGCCGCCCAATCCCGAAGGACTCCAGGCGGCTTACAGAAAATAAATTTTAAAAGAAGGGTTAAAAACAAACAGAGGAAAGCAGATTAAAAGAAGCACATCATGCACCCAGTCTAATCGGGGCTGGACCTCGGT